GCAGGAATCAGAGGGTGGGGGTAAAGTGCATGAGATGAGCTTTTCCAGCACAGATGCTAGTCAATGACTAGACAGTGAGGGCTCTTCTCTTTTGGATCCGGTGCCCAGTGAGTGCATGGCCTGGGACAGTCCCTGCAGCAAGAAATCCCTTGAACTGGGGATGGAAACAAGTCCCCCCCGCGTGGCCGCCTCTGAAATGACAACTTACTTTTGCAAAGGGTAAGTCATGTAAATTGGCAACTGCCTTGAATTTGAATGAGTAATATGTGTTCCTCTCCTTGCAGCAGGCAACAGAGCAGCTATACAATATGGGCCAGACTCTCAGCTGCCGTCAGTCAGCAGAGAACCTCTGGAGCCAGCATCTGTTCACTGAGAATTATGGGGCCAACCTATTGTACTAAAAATCCTCAAACCAGAACAATAAACATCAGGTGGCCATGACTTTGTGCTTGCAAACAAGGCAATACAACTACAGGGAGGATGATCCCGGAAGGGAGGAGAAGCAGGGAAGAGAGGCGAGAGAGTCACTCACATTGTCATTTGGGTACAGGACTCTGGATATGTTTTCTGCCAGGTTTCTGTCCAACACCGCCTCGATGTAGTCACCCACATTGACTGTAGCAAGAAAGAAATACACACAGCACTGCAGCAGCCGTAGAGATTCAGGCAGGTCCCTGACAGTGCGCTTTTCCCTCTTCTCTCATAGAGAGATTTGTAACAGGAACATTCAGGCTCGTATTAATGAAATATGAATGGGAATGTACATGTGTGAAAGGCGCCAGAGAGACAGGATGAGATGGGGTAAGAGAAAGGCACATCTCCAGTTTCTCAGACACACATATCAGGAAGGACAGAAACTGAAGACAGATAGCAGCCAGAGAAGGAAAAAAAGGAAGTGAGTGACCAGCCATCTTGCTTAAGGACTGAGGAGAAATGGGGCAGGGCAAAGAAGCACGAAGACCGCAATCACACTCAACTCCTAAAGCGTACAAAAGGCTCATCCGAAACCCAGCTCACAGCTGCCAATCAAGAACTGAGGAGACATTATAAGGACTCGAGAGCCATCACCTCTTGTCCCACACAAGTTCTTCTGGCAGGGCTGCTTGGACACACACATCTCTGCGCTTACCAGTATGGAAGAATAAATCAAATCAGTCTAGCCTAAAACCTTCCCCTTCTGTAACAGCCTAGCACTGACATTTGGTACGTTAGTTGCCCTGTATCTGCTCTTCAGCACTACAGTTAGAGCCTGAAAAATGCACTAGAGAGGTCACATGTAGACCAAAAGGAAACCAACAGTAAGGTGGGCTCTGCTGCTTTCTTCCTTCAGCACTAAGGGATGATGCTGCACAGAAATGACCCTCCATGGCAAGTGTGGGTTTGCAGCTCATTTGGTAATGTGGGAAACGTAGTGGCAGGTGGTCTATCACTTGGGGAAGGCATAGGGCAGGTTTTCAGAGCATGATAAGCGTGATGGGGATGGAAGGAGGACGGATGGGTGTCCTGGTGCATGAGGGCTCTGGAAGTGGTTGGAGGTAGTGTGATCCATGGATGCGCACACAGTGCTGTGTTTTGGAGGTAGCCAGGAGATATGGATAAAGCAGGCCAGATGGAGAGTGCTGCGCCAAGTGCTATGCACACAGGAACAACCATGTCCCAGCCTGGCTAGAAGAGAGGCAGTGGAGGGATAGCACTTACACTCTTGGAGGTTGAAGTCATTGGGCGCTTTTGCAGACCACAGCCTCATGGTGTTTACAGTGTTGTTCTTGTATCCTGGCACTGGCGTGTCGTAAGGCATAGCAAGGACAACCTGCAAAAGGACAGTATTCCCCTCTGATTAGCAGCATGGTGGCCTCAGAGAAGGTGGGAAAGTGGCTGAAACCTCTGCAGGAAGAATCCAGAGGACACAGACAACTCCTGGCTGTGGTAACAATCCCACCTCACTAAAACATGCCTGCTGAGCTTCACAAACTTCCCTGCTATCATAGGCACTTCCAGCACCCACTGGCAAAGCTTTAATAGGACAAGCAGAGCTGTTTGGAGCTTTACTGACAAACTGGAGTTACAAGCCCATCAATGAAATGTAAAAGAGAGTTGCAAGCAACCTGCTGACCTTCCTATACCAACTGGCATAACTATTAGCTATTCACCAGAGCACTGCAAGCATCCTCAGCTGGCCACTGTGATTCTATCTGTGCTGGGGTAGGGCCAGGGCAGCTGGGACCTTTGTGTTTCCATCTGGGATAAATTCCACAGCCTGAATCCTGCCCGTTAGCCTTCTGCAGCCTGCCAGGACCAAACCCTACCACCACAGCACCATTCCCAGAGCAATTCACTCCATGTTCAAGGTTTGTTGAACCTGCCTGGGTAAATCCACTGAGATCTCCAGCACCCAAACTGAACATGAGTGCAAAACTATTAGTGCAGTCTGCGGATGATGCTTAAGCATGAGGATGCTGCATGCATGGCTACAGGGAGTAACACTGGGGCTCCCAGCTCAGATTACACTAGCCAGGCAAGGCATGGATGTGCTTCCAAGCTTGTGTGCTCCAGCTCACTGCTGTGCCAACATCTGCATGCCTCCAGACCTGCTGAGCGGCAAGGCAAGGCACCCCAACCTCAGCCTGGAACAACGAGGCTGAGGGCTTATGCCAGCAGAGCTGAACGGTGCTTGCAGAGCAAGGCCCTGACCCTGCAGCACAGAGCCTGGGCTGCCTCTCTGATGCCGGCAAAAGGAGCCAGCATCCTCCTGGACAAATCAGTGCCAGCATGACAGCCCAGCAGCCAGAGGCTGTCCCCAAGCAAAGATGTAAGAGGCAGCAGAGAACTGAAGGAGCTGTGCTCACAGGGCACGGAAACCCAGGCAGATCAGCATGTTGGCCCTGAACAGCCTCTTTGTGCTGGCATCAGCAACACCTCCCTTCTGCGGAGAATCAGCAAAAGCTCAGGCTCTCAAAGCTGCTATTACCAGCTCCGAACATGGAAGCAGGCAGAAAGCCTGCCCTGCCTGACCATGGGACTGGGGCACACATCACATGAACTGAGCGATGCTATATTTGGAGACTGTGTCTTTGGCTTTTTTGAGCCTTTCCAACTTGTTCCCTTAATGGCACTATCTGAAAATTCACCTCCTTGTGGGAAGCAGCGTTTCCACTGCACTGCTTGGGATCCCTGAAACCCCGAACTACTGCCGGGGTCAGAAGAGGAGCACGGTGAAAGGCAATGGCACTCGGTCCCCAAGTGGATGTCTGCTTCCCCAGAGAGCTCTGGCACGGTGCCTCCATGCTGTTCACAGGGCTGTAGCGTTGAACCCCTGCACTGTGTGTGTCCTGGGAATGGCCTACATCACTGCACAGCCTTTGACAACCAGGGTCCCTGGAAAAGGACCTGGTTTATTTCTCCTCTGAGCGGGTCCAGGCGACTCTGCAACTGAGCTTCAGCTTTTGGTGCTTTTGGCTTGGCTTTATGACTGTGCGCTCCTCAGACAGACAGAGCTGGCTCATCAGGCTGAGAGACCCTTGAACATCATGGGAACAAGGTTACATCATGTCCCTGAATGCCAGAGAAATTCATAGTCCTTCCTTCCTCCATCCTGGGCAGTGCTTAAACAGGAGAAGCTGAAACATCTTCAATCCTCTTAATAAATATGTGCCTCTTTAAAGCTTGCCTTCCTTACCTGTAAGACTGGAATGCATTTACGACACAGCAGCCTGTGCTCTGAGCAGGCACGTGCTCCTGAAGCACAGCATTACCTCCCCAATTGTGGGAGGCTGAAGAAGCGTTTGCTCTCCACGATGCCACAGAAGGCCTCCAGGCAGACTGGAGACATGAAACCATGCCTCCAGCCTCCCCTGACAGCACTCTACCCATCAGGCTGGTCTGGGAAAGAGGAACTTGCTCCGATCACGGGAGTTAAACACCCACAGGATTGCTCCATGGACACCCCACAAGGTGAATCTCCACCCACAGCAGCAGCACCAGAACCACGTGGAAAACCACTGGGTTTGAGTGAGTGGTAGCCAGGAGCAGTCTGGAAGGAGCCTAGCACAGCTGCCAGGGATACAGTCCTCCTCCGACATAAATCCATGCAAGACCGTGGGGCTTCAGCCTGGAGATCAGTAGAGAAGGAGGCCCCAACTGATCTGAAGTTACAGCTGAGACTGAGTATCATCCCTCTTTTTCCTCAAATCCTGCTGCAGCTGCAGCCAACAAAGTCACCATAACTGCAAGGGTAGCAGAGAGAGTTTTGCCAGACTGGGAGAGAAGCAAAGTCTGACCACCTTAGGCAGCCTGGGGACAGACTCTCCCCCTCCACGCTACCCTCGCCCATCCTCCCCCAGCCCAGCACCGAGGGAGATGTTGGTACCTGGGTGTCAATCCACTTCACACCCTCAGGGGTGTTTTCCACACGGCCATAGAAGTGCACGGGGAGCATGTACTCTGGGCGAGCTTTCTCCCAGGGATTGCCGTAGCGTAGCCAGTCATCGGCCTCCTCCACCTGCAGGAGGCAAACGGGGTTCAAGTGATGGCTTGTGTCTCCAAGTGAAGGCTAAACTAGGCTCTCCGAGGGGAGGCCAGTTTAAAAGCAAAGCTTTAGTAATCTGGCTTTAAAAATGGATATGCAGAGGCCTCTAGAGGACAGCTGGGCTTTTTGAAACATGGATGATTACATCCCAGCTGGTATAAATAAATCAGCCTCTACGGGCTTTACAGAGCTGTACAGGTTTAAACTATCCAAACTGCACAGATTGCTGCACTCAGTCTGTCTTGAGGCCTTTACATCCAGTTTGACCATGATAGTGGGATATGTGGGATGTGTTTCCCTAGAAGCCCATCGGTGCTGTTCCTGGCCACAAACCACCCTCTGTAACCCAGGTCTTGCTAACTGCTCTGCCTTCTGCCAGAGAGGATTTCTCCTCTCTGCTCAGAACAGCACCAATGGGAGTGAAGTGAACTCAGCAGAGCCACCAAGGCTGATGTGCACCAGAAACCAGAGGGGCTGAGGCACTTGGAGAGATGCTCTGTGCCTGCAGGCATTTCTCTGCCAGGTGGAGGGCAGGTCTGAGCCACAACCCAGTATCGCCACCGCCCCTGTTCTTTTTTAAGTAACATTAAACCAATTCCAGTGGATGCTTTTTTACCTGTTTTCACCATTTATAGGGCCTAGCATTGCAGCTTCTTTGTGGGGAAGAAGGAAAAAACAACCCTCAAACCTCTCACCCTCCCTGACTTATTGAGAGCTATTTTAAGGGGAAAAAAGGTCATTTATGCTCAGAAGCAAGGCAATTCTCCTAATGGAAACCATTTCCAGACATACACTAGGGAAAACTGCCAGCTGGGGCAGTTTTTTAGCCTATTTTCACTTGCAAAATATTATCATTAATGCTAGAGGAGAGTCCCTGTTTAAGCCCCCGCTGCCAGCCTCCCAGGGAACCCGCAGGAACAGCAGCACCCCAGGCACTTGCATGTGTTCCATTATGTTCAAATTCATCCTCCACCAGACACCTTCATGAGGTGTTTAGCCACATCTTCATCCTTAGCCTGACTCCTTGCCCACTCACTGCCAGGCTGGATGGGACTCGGGTTGTTGCAGCTGTGCCATGGAGCCCCCGGCAGGGAGACCTCTGGTCCCAGCCATGCCCTGTGGGCTCAGCTCCAACACCATCTTGCCGGGTGACTGGCATGGATGAGCTTGAACATGTCCCTGAGTGAGTGCCTGCCGCACACACACCCCACTGCCCTCATCACTTCTCTTTGCTCAGGTGGTCAGAGTCCTAGGGTCAGCACAAACGGTAGGAAGTGACAGCCCATTTGGCACCAGGTGATGGGCTCAAATGCCCAGTTTATGAAATACTCAAGGCACTGCAGTGCTGTTTGTGTGGCCAGGCCTTGTCCACAGGCAGAAGTGGCCAGCACAGCACGAAACAGAAGGAGAAAGGGTGACTTGAGTTTGCCAATGTACCTGCCAGCCGTCGACAATCTTCTGATTGAAGATACCGAACTCGTAGCGGATGCCGTAACCGTATGCCGCCAGCCCCAGCGTGGCCATGGAGTCCAGGAAGCAAGCTGGAAGAGCAGAGCGTGGTCATGCTGCAAGGAACCTCACCCCTCGCTCGCTGCACCCGCTACAGCGTGCTGTGCATGGGGGTGAGGAGCTGCCACAACCAATGCCACTGGAAACATTTATTACTCAGAGAAGATCTGCGTGCAAAAGGGACAGAAGGGGATAGCCTGCAGCAGGACCCCATGCATGTCCTGCTGAGCCACCATGAACACCCCAAAGTTGTTGGTGACAAGGACAGGTCACCAAAAACCCAAATCCAGCCTCGTTACAGTGAGAACTCTTCTAAACTTGCTTGAGGTGCCCACGCCTTGCTCTAAGCCTGCCTGCCTGGTAAAGCAGGGCTTCTGACCCTGACTCGCTGCTCCATCAGCTACTTCGCTATTACTGCTTCCAAAGCACACCCTTCCAGCCCTCAGTCCGGGGCAGCTCTGGTAAAGATCAGCCCTGGCATTTCCTCCGTATTGGGGAGCTCTTGTCTCCAGCAGTCCCGTGGGACAGGCAAACTAAAATAGCAGCCAACAGTCTGCCTACGTGAGAGCTGCTTGGGTGCCTCCAAAAAGTGAGAGATCTCACAGGGAAGTGAGGACAAAGGCTCCAGACAGCCTCTTTCAGCCGCAGCCCCGCCTGCTGTGCTGCAGATTACACAACGACATCTCCTGGATGCTTTCACTGGGGAGGGGGCTTGTTTCTGGCCAGCCAGGAGCAGGCAGGAGGGTACCACGCTGCTGAAGGGCTGCGGGGCAGATGCGGGCTGAGGTCTGCATGCTGTCCCACTGTGGTGCTGGCGTCGAGGGCGTGACAGCCTCCAGCCAGGCCACCCTCGGTCCCCGTGCACTCTGCACGAGGAGGAGGCTCCCCTCTCCCTGTATTACCTGCCAGGCGGCCCAGGCCTCCATTTCCCAGTCCAGCATCTTCTTCGATTTCTTCCAGCTCCTCCAAGTCCAAACCCAGCTATTGGGGAAAGAGCCACAGCAGAACATGTTACCACCCGAAGCACACGCCCTGGGGCTGCTCTCCGAGGAGGTCAAACACAGATCCCAAAACAACCCACACCATGGGAAATTAAACCCACGGGGGTCTCTGCATCCCCTTCCCACAAAACATCTCACCAGCCTCTGGTCCACGGGCAGCCCAATTAACTGGAAAACAATTTAGCCCATCATCAAACGTCGCTTTCCCATGAACTAGGTTTCCTTAGAGACCTCAAACAAAACACTCGTCTCCTGGCAGCCCCTCACGCCAGGAGGCCCTTCCACCGAACTCGCCGTTGGAGACAGAATGGCAAATGGCCAAGTTGGCGCACAAGGGACCTCTGAGTCCTGCCCGGGTACGTGCACCGCCCCTCTGCTTGCACCTGTCTGGTCCTTGAGGAAGGGCACGACCACGTTGGCAGCTGGTTACTGCAGCGTTCGCCACTACGCTCTGTGCCTTCCCGCATCCTGCCCAGCCTGCTGCGAGCTCCTTGGCCGGAGTCCATGGCTGGAAGCGGTCGTCTCCTCTGCTGCATCTCTCGGGCCATTTGTTTTCCAGCCCAGGGGCTGCTGCCAGATGAAGGCTAAGCATGCTAGCAGCAAGGACTCTCCAGGAGTCAAGAGATGCTGCCTCTTGGAGGGCATCAGTATCTCACCTTGGTGCCAGGGGGGAGAGCGGGACAGCGGGCAGTCAGGCCGACACCATGGCTGCTCCCCAAACCACTCTCCCAGTGCTTCAGTGGTCTGCAACCATAAGCTGGGAATGCCTCATGCACAGTGTGACGTTGTCACAAAAACCGAGGCGAATTCTCTCAGTGACAGAGCCATGCTGGATACGAGACCTCCCATCCCAGCTGGCCACAACGAGCTCCACATGTTGGAGGCTACAGCAAGGGAATCCTCTGCTCGCATGTTGGGCCAAATCAGCACATGGAAAATGCCTTGCAAAGGAACTTGAGGATCCTCCCTGAAAAAAACAGCTTGCTCTCTGAGGCACGATACCTCAGAGAGGAAATGTGTCAGATCCCTCCCTGGAAATCCCTTCCCAGCCCTTGGCAGGGAAAGTGCTCACCAAGACATTTCATCAGCAATTGTAGCACCTCATTTTAAGAGACAGTGACAGAGCCCAACTTCTGCTAGAAAGTGTAACATGGATCAATCCAGTGGGGCAGAGGGGAAAAGGAGGGAGTGAAATTAAGCTTTTGGGTGAGAAAGCCCCAAAACTCATACTCTGTCAAAAAGGTCACTGTCCTGCTGCAGAGGTGGCTGCAAGCCTAAGTAACCATGGCCTCGCATTTGTGATTGCCTTGGTGGTACTCAGCTGTGTTTTTTCCAGTTTGAACTCATCTGATGACATTTTAATTCAAGCAAATGATTTCCCACCTTTCTTCCTTCCCCGTGGTTCACTTTTATCTGGCAGCGGTGCTGCTGTGCCTTGTGTACCTGCATGTATGAACTGTAATTTGGTGTTTTGGTGCTCCAGTTCCCCGTTCTGGCCCTGCCTCCCCTATTAGACTACATCTCCTGTGATGAGCCATCATCTCTCCTAGTAATGGAAAGCTATTTGCAGCCTGGGACTCCCTAGTCTTTTGGGATACTGGGTGTTGCTTTCTGGATACTCCTCTGGATTTTCCCAGCCATTACAGGAAAACGGTGGTTTGAGAAAACCATACTCCAACTCTCGAGGAACCCCAAGGTCCTCCCATGGTCTTCTCTAGGGGATGAAAAACACTAATAGAGAGCCAAGCCTCACTTTGTTTAGTCAAAATAACACATTTTTAGGAGGAAGCCCTGAGAAATAAAGATACTCAGCCCTCTGCGTGGAAAAGTTTGGCCAGCTCCTCAGGGGGACCTGGGACCCAAGACTTCACCTGGTAAATGGCTTCATCGCAAGCGTTCTGCAGGCCCAGGTTCACCATGGTGTTCTGCAGAGTGCGGCCCATGTAGAACTCCAGGGACAGGTAGTAAATGCGCTGGGGAGGCAAAGCAAGATGCTTACACACAGCACAGCACTTCGCTTTCACCAAAGTCACTTAAAATTAAGACCAGACCCAAGTGCTTTCCAGAGTAGGGACATCTCCCCAAACTGGCTCTTGGCACCGGCTCCTGAACACCACGCACCACAGTTTGTTTGTCAGAAGGATCTCACACGGGATGCTAGCCAACCCTCTGCCGCGCGTCTCCCTGCCAACAGCCTTCTATAGAAAAATCTCATTGCCTGTTAAGTGTTTCCCTAATTAACTTAGGGCAAGAATTATCTAGGATGCTGAATGGTGTATTTATACACTGTCAAGCTCAGCCTAGGTGATGCTTACGCTGGGCTTTTAAAGTTTTCCCAGGCTGAGCTGAAGCTGATCCAGAGCCTGCTGAAAGCCGAAGCGAGCCCCCCGCCCCACGCACGCTGGCCAGGCTCAGGGCCAGGCCCCTTCCTGCTAGCGATTTCCCAGAGCTCCTATCGCATGGGTCCTCCTGTTCTCCCTGCACCGAGTTTCACGCACACGTTTCACCCTGTTGAACAAATAAACTGTCCCACGGGTGGCAGGGTTCCCAGCACAACTATGCAAGACAGGCTGCTCTGCGGTGACCTTCCAAGATTCAGAGGAGCTGTGCCTGTGCCACGAATGCTGATGAAAGCCTGTTTGTAGGATGAGAAGCAGGCTGTGCAAACTTTTGCCCTCACTCAGATTTATCGCTATAGATATTTTTATAAATAAAGAGGAATTTTTAACAGAGCAATAGCCTGACTTTAAATCGTGCTTCCCCTTGAATCTCTTTCCTTCGTAGCTGGATCTCTCCCTGCTAAGCAGCAGGATTATCCGCTCTGCCACCTCTGCTGGCAGTCTGAAAGGGTCCATCTGTTCCTTGGGGCTGATTGGAAAGACTGAAAACATCGCACAGTTGCATAAATACTCTGCTCCTTTCAGTCTCCCACAGGGACGTGTTTCTAGTGAAAATCTAAGCGCAGAGGACAGTAAGCAAACACACTCCAAGCTCCTCTTAGTCTTTATGGGATCTGTACAATCCCTTCTGTTAGTGCAGCACTACGGATCAGAGCCCATTTGTGTGAGTAAGGATAAAAGGGAGAGCTTCACGCACCGGCGTAACTCCCAGGACATGTGCAGCCGTACCAGAGTGAAAGTGCAGTTTGTTTCTTGTGTCAAGGCAATATTTATAACCCCGAGAAAAGAGCTGACTCGGGGAGGCAGCTGCCTGCACACTGGGAAGGTATGTGCCTCTTCTAGTATGCACCTGCCCTCTGGGGCTCTCCAGTTAAGTGCTGGATCAGGTCTTAGTTCAAAAGGATTAAGGCTGAGTAATGTCCTGCAGCCCCCAACATCTCCAGCACTGCCATCCTGACTTGACAAGTGGGGAGGAGAGGAGGGAGCAGGCTGAGTCTCCTGGGAACCGCCAGCTCCCTGGGGTTTGGTGACCTGGGAGAGCTTGTCTGGTTTGCACGAGGCAAGAAACTCTTCTCCAGCCCAGCCTCAAAGCCGAGCTGCCTGTGGGCCCTGCAGGAGTGAAGCCAGGACATGGCTGTGCTGAAGCATGTGCCAAGACGTGGAGGTGACGATGCCTACAGGGGACACCACTGCAGTGGTGCGAGTGCAGGACATGGCCGCAGTGAAGCATGCAGAGGAGCTGGCAGCAGCAAGGCACGTGTGAGGACATGCTCACAGGGGGATCACAGGGGATGTGGCTGTGACACGGCACAAGGGATTACAGTTGTGGGGATGCCTGAGGGAGGACATGGCTGCAGCAACGCTCATTGGGACAGGGCTGCAAAGAAGCTTGTGGGGACACAACCATGGCGAACTGCATGAGGGACATGGCCATGGTGAGGCCCATGGGGACACAGCCATGGCAAGATGTGTGCGAAGGACGTGACTGGGGCAAGGCCCATGGGGACACAGCCACAGTGAGGTGCATGAGGGCCACGGCCATGGCAAGGTGCACACAAGGTACATGGCCGTGGTGATGCCCATGGGGACACAGCCACAGCAGGGTGCATGCGAGGGATACAGCTGTGGCGATGCCCACGGGGAAGAAGCCATGGTGAGGTGCACGAGGGACACGGCCATTGGCCAGGGGCCACGGCTGTGGTGATGCCCAAGGGGCCATGGCCACTGTGAGATGCACGTGAGGGACATGGCCATGGGGATACCCACGGGCCACGTCTGCAGTGACGCCCGTCAGGGGGACACGGAGACACGCGCGGGGCCGACAGGGAAGATGCAGCCACCGCACCCCGTCCCCATCCTCGTCCCCTCGAAGCCCGGCTTCCCCCCGCTTCACCTTGGGGTCCCGCTCGTAGTAGTGCTGCTGGGTGCGGATCCAGCGCCCCACCAGGTGATCGCGCACCGTGTGGGCCAGCGCGAAGTAGTAGTCGCGGGGGGTGGCGACATTGCGGTCCTTGACGAGGGTGAAGTGGAGGTGGCGGTTGAAGCTCTTGCGCA